AAACATAACAACATTCCAATTGGTGTTCTCTTCTAGGCGCTCGCTGCACCATATTCTCCTGAATTGTTGGCGGCGGACTGTTGCTGCAGTCGTCTCAAAGGGACATACGATGTGACGCCAACTTCCTGTGTAGATAAAGGGCTTGTCAAAACATTTTGTACTTCATTTAGGATCTGGCGGGCACTATGGAAATGGTTCCGTCAACGAGACTCAAAGTAAAAATTTACATACAAGAGTCAGATTGCTAAAAATACTACTTGACAAGCGATCCAAACTTACAGTACTAGACACAAAAAGACTGTACGCTGCACTACAAGACCCTCTTGGACATACGGTCCTGAACTGTACGAAGCCGCTAAGCGTTCCAATCTTAATTCCATACCCTACAATATAAAATTCTGCGAACAAAAGTTAATGCTCCCTTCTGTCTTTAACCGTACAATTCATACTGACTTACAAATCCCATTCGAATCCGATCTTACCCAATTCCGTCACAAAAGTTTTCATTCTAAGTTGTCATATCACTCAAACCCTCTAATCCTCGAATTATTATGGATATTACCCACCAATCCTCGTCGGACACTGAAGCGACAACTTACTTGCTTAAAATCGTTCTTTTCTTTTTTGAATAATTTGACTACATTCCACATCATCAAATACTTGAAAGTTGCCTAACGTCGGCGAAAGTGTAGTTGCCAATTGATCACCCTGCTGGTGAACTAACGGCTCTCAACACTGGATGGACAGTTCACGCCTTACACGACCTTTTATCCGTGCATACATACTTTATGAGCATTTCACTTAATGCAAAAATAATTTTAATTAAGGTTTTTAGTAGAGATAAAAAAGTCAATGGCACGAGCAGGATTCGAACCCACGATCTTCGGCTAGATACGCCGCTGCTCTACCACTTGAACTATCGTGACCTCGATCCACTCGGACACCAACTTCCCATATCAACCCCACCTTTTGAATTTTCCCTCCTTTTTGCCATTTTTCAAATGTCGTGAAATCGGATTGGATTCTCGACGACAAATGAAATGGCCACGAAGAGCTTTAGTGGAGTATACTTCATTTTCAATCATTAAATTCATTAATTTCGTGGTCCGCTTGACCAATTAATATATTACAATTAATTAAGGTTTTTAGTTGAGATAAAAAAGCCAATGGCACGAGCGGGATTCGAACAATCCCCTGCTCTACAACTTGAGCTAGCTATTTGTCGTCTAGAATCCAATCCGATTTCACGACATTTGAAAAATGGCAAAAAGGAGGGAAAATTCAAAAGGTGGGGTTGAGATGGGAAGTTGGTGTCCGAGTGGATCGAGGTCACGATAGCTCAAGTGGTAGAGCAGCGGCGTATCTACCCGAAGATCGTGGGTTCGAATCCCGCTCGTGCCATTGACTTTTTTATCTCAACTGAAAACCTTAATTAATTGTAATATATTAATTAGTCAAGCGGACCACGAAATTAGTGAATTTAATAATTTTAATATTATTCCTTGTCGCATATTTAAAGCGCAGTTGTAAATAAATAAATGAATCTTTAAACAATATTATTTAGTTCCAGGCCGTACCTGTACATCTAAAAATACCCTATACAATTTTTACCGTCAAGTTCTAAACGAATTTTTGGCTTGGTTTTATTATTCACGAGTGACTTAAATTTGCAGCAATTTCCATTCGGGATTTATTTTGAATTTTGGTGCAATAAATTATTATTATTATTGACACATTTACGGTCAAATACCGGAAATAGCAATTACTATATAAATAATATAATATAAGAAATAAACAAAAAATGGAATAGGAAAAGAACTGATTTAGAATGAGATAAATCTGCTTTTTGTCCAATACAAAATTTCCTTTCAATATTAGCATTTTATTTATACAAATCAATGAGCAATAATTAATTTTTTTAAATCGAACAATTATTATTAACATTGATTTGATTTTTTAACTTAAGATTTGACTTAATTTATTGATGTGTATGTCAACAAGGAACAGTTAGAGGAATGATTTTTCCACTTCTTAGCGAAACCGGGGAAGCCCCGGGTCGTAATGGAAAATAACCGTACACAATTGATCAAATTCAATTAATAACAACGTTTAGAAAGTGTTTTCCAAACCTGGAACTTTTAAATCTAGTCCACCGCATAAAGGAATAAAACTGTTTTCATCGATGTAAAATCGGGAAATAACCTTGTAGTTACATAACTCGGAGTAAATGATGTTTGTTTATATTCTTATTTTTGATTCTCTGTCTATGATTTTCTTCAATTGTGTATGTTTCAAATTCGATGTGATACATCATACGTTTCAATCTGTTGAAAGTAAGTCAAATTTTTGAGTTTTATCTTAGATCAATATTTTTTAGCCAGAAACTGGCTAGAATTGACGATCAGAAATTTAGTTATTATTTTGGGAAATTACATAATTATTTTAATGCCCATTTTGCAGCTCTTTGAAAATACAACGGGAATCTACCTGCAATCTTGATGAAAATTGTTTTCAAACCGATATAGCTTACTAAATCCAGAGACATAAGGTATGAACAGCAAACATAATAATATTCATTTTGTGTCACTAAGGCATTTTCCGTTCGTCTTCGGCAATTTAAGGCTCGTGGGCTCCGAGGGACGGGATGCCAGCTGGTTTCTGCCCAAAAGAGCACCGGCTTGAATAAAAGTGGAGACAAAGAACACGTGCTCCTTGCAATCGACTCGAAACAACTTCGAATTATTAGAGCAACAGACCGACACCTCGAAACAGGCCGACCACTTCCCGTCTGATTCGACTTCGAGACAATTTCGTCAATTTACTGCCTTCCTTACAAAAAGAAATCAATTTTTAAGGATGAAATATAAAATATAAGAGAAGAAGACCGTACTTTGTAACACACAACCGTTATACAAATTATGCAAAATTTATATTCGGATTTCTTCTTGAGGTCTGCGGGTTGATAAACCAAAACAGCGGTTATAGGCAAATGAGAATGATGGGATACTAATAAATTTCAAAGTGTATATACAAATTTCCATGTTGATGGTGTTTGTCTAGAGAATAATGTTAACCTTATCACCACAGATCATCTTTCTGGGTCCGTCTATTCCCGCTGGTTACGACTGAACTACAAACTTTATAAACAAATTTAAAAAAGTTGGTGATGGTTGAATGACCTTGTGTCTGACCGACGTTTTTCCCTCTGGTTCTATGTTGCATTCACACCTTCTTTTGCTTCATAGCACCTTTGTTGAGAAACTGAGAGCACAGACCAAAAATAGCGATTTGTATAAAACACGTTAAACCGTTAGAAAAATTATGCGAAATTTATATTGTGTGAAGAAGTCTTGTCTGCGGGATGACCGACCAAAACAGCGAGGATTGCCAGAATGTTTAGAAACGACCTAATAAAAGAAATTAGATCGTTAATGATCTTATATCTCGGTCTATTCTCTCTGGTTATGAGGATATTACAAATTTTTTTAAAAATCCGTGATGGTCGGATCGCCTCTGACGGACACTGCTTATTCCCTCCGGTTCTACGTTACATTCACTCGCGTTTCTAATCATGGCACCATCGCAAAAATAGCGATTTGAATAAAATACGCTAAACCGTTATAAAAATTATGTAAAATTAATATTATGGGAAAAAGAAATCTTGAGGACTGCAGGGTGACGAACCAAAACAGCGAGGATTGTTCACAAACGACCGAACTACAAAATTCTAAACAAAGTTTTTAAAAGTTGGTGATGGTTGGACGATCTCGGGTTGTATGATCGACATTGATCTGGATACGTCTATTCTCGCTGGTTGTACGCATTCAAACGCGTTTCTGCTTCGTCCAGCTTCAGTGAGGAGTGCACACAGAAACGTGAACAGTATCAATCGGTTCAACAATAAAGATTGAAGCTTCTCCATGTGGTCTGCCGGGCGTTGGTTTGTTCGTTTCTGATCAATTTGCTTTGCTTAGCCTTGCGCATCTAGCAAGGAGAAACGCGCAGACTTACCAGCAAATATAGGCAAGCCAAAATGATAAGTAAAGGTCAAAAAAGTCTGTGGGCGAACACGTTTTTTTATTAAAACATCAATTAAATTTCGCCGATAATACGAATCGCAATAATAACTAAGACAACTCAAAGGACTTTTTACAAAGGACTTCTCAGTCTTTCTTAATTGCTGTGCAGTTTGTCTCAATAGACTTGCCATGAGACGTTCACGCTTTCGTGTTATTGACAGTAATTAATTAAACCACAATTATTCGGAAGCGGGACGCGTTTCCGTTTTATTTGCTTTGCTGCGCGTCTGTGATTTAAAACTACCTTCGAGATCGTACAATACACTCAATAAAGTATTAAATAATAGAAAAAAATTCATACTTCTAGGGGGTGAAGAATGGTGAATTTCAATACTTCAACAACTGATTTTTTACTTAGCAGGATAAATTCTATAAAAATGTTGTTAATGTTGTGAAATTTCCTCTTGGGGTCTGCGGGGTAGTGAACGTGTAATTTTGCAGTTTCAGTGGATTTTGGCATGCCTATCCTTCTGGTTTGGTTTGTCAGAACCGTTTCGGTTTCTCTGGTCTGATCGCCTGCCTCTCCTTGCTTAAATCCTTGATGTCTTACACTAAAGGCAGCGAAAAGTCGAAACGCGTCTGACAGAACAAACCAAGAAAGCGAAATATTTTTAATATTATCGGATGTTTGAGCAAGCTTGTGTAAGCTGAAACTTAGCTTATTTGAGAATACACAATAATTATTGAATTGTTAGAATTTTAAACAGTAGCAATGAATAACAAAATATTTGACCAATCTCTTTCTAACCTGCAAAAAATATTTACAAAAAATAATAATACAGTTAAAAAACTTATGGACCTTTTGTAATTAATGCATTCATACATTTTCTAGTCTGCTACGTTAACTTTTTTTTAACATTGCCACAATCTTTCCTATTAATAATTATTAATAATAATTAATGATAATAACATTTTTTTCAGGCAAAAGCTTCACGTTGACGATAACGGTGGCATCGTGCCCTCCCCAGGTGGCAACGTACAACAAAGCGATAAAAGTCACCGTGGATGGGCCGAGGGAACCCCGTTCAAAAACGAGTAAGTACATTTCTCAAATCTAACGCGTTTCAATAACATGCACATTCGATTTATGATTTCTGAGATGTTGCTGAGCTTCCTTCCCGCTCACCTTTACAAGGAATACTTTCTTTTTTTTCCATTATGTCCGTGCAATATATTCCCTTCATGGCATTTTACTTAAGTTGTGCTTTGAAATGGTCGGAAAACGCTTTTACTTAACGTGTGTCCGCCAAAGAAGCAGATAAACAATAAAATCCTTCTCGAAATCACAGTCGTGTATTTCAGGTTTTCAGAAAAAAATCTAGGTTGTCCTTTAAGTGGCAAATTTTATAGTTTGTTGCCTTTCCAATCGAATGGCAACATAATTCGATTCAGTCGGCACTTCCCACATCTCAGGATTTAACAATTCACCTCGCGAAATAAGATTAATTGATCCGTTATCATTGCATCCGGTCACGGATAACGGTACTTATTTTTTCGACATCGAAAAAATGCGAATGGGAAAAGTTCGTCGACGATAATTAACAATTTTAAATCACCAGATTGCAGATAATGTAAACTAATAAACTAGAGTCATAAACATAAGTAACGTGAATCAGATGTAAATGCTGGTTACAAAACAATCAATTGCCAACAAGTGGCATTCGTTTAGTATTCCAGTTGTAAGTTTTCAAAAAAATTTACTGGGATCCGCGGATGAGCCTGCATTTTGGTCTTTTTCAATTATCCTGGTCCTCCTGGCCTCGCTGTTTTGTCCTGTCAGCTGGGACTGTTTACCTCATCTATTCGTGGGAATGAATGAATAACGTTTATTTTCATTTACATACAATCATAATTAAAAAATATTTATATATAAAAATGAAACTTACACTCTTATTTCTTAAAATCATGATTTTAATGGTATGGTCATCTGACCGTCTGCCAATGCCTTTAAAAATTTAAATGTTAACTGTTTACAATTAAGGAAAGAAGAAAAGATATACCTAACGGAATATAAAAATCAGCAAAGTGAACAATTAAAAAAATAGAAAAAATAATCAATTAATAATTAAAGGGGGACCGCGGTAGCCGAGTGGTTAGCATGAGAGACTCTCACGCCGCGGTCGTGGGTTCGATTCCCACCGTTGCCCCTGGCCCTTTTTTCCCAATAACCCCCCAAATTTGAACACACATATACGAATTTGTCACATGGCTAATATGCATAGTTCATAACGCAAAAAAAAAAAAAAAAATAAAAAAAAATAATTAAATGCTTTTACTAACATGTTTCTGTATAATAATGATGCTTTTGTAAACCGAACCAAGTCCTTCCGATTACTACCATTAAGTACTACACATTCAAATCAACATCATCTACTGAAAGATTATCTTCTTGAAGGAATCACAATTTTTGATGCTTCAGTATGGGGTATGCTGCTAAAATGTGGAACGTCCAGTGATGGGTCTGTGCTTTTTTATCTTCGTCGGTGAAGCAGGATTTTCCGAAACGGCAATTCTACAAATTAGTTTTCAGTCGACCATTATGAAAATGACAATAATAAAATGTATTTTAACGAAATATTAAGACGTGGATGCATGGCCTAATCCCAGTAGTGGGCGAAATACGACACCCGTCTGATAACCAAAAACAGCAAGAACTAGAACAATCTTAAACTATCAAATTTTCTTTGGTAGTTGTCTTCTTTAGACAAAGTCTAGGCTTGGAAAGTTTTTCAATCGGATTCTAAAATTAAACAAATGATTTTTCGGTGTTCCCCGTAAATATGCCGGAGTGGCGATCGGGGAACACCGCTTTGCAAGGCTATTGAAACGGTTGTCCTTGGTCGATATTACGCCACACGTTCTTGTCTCCAGTCAACACACTATTTGCATGAATGTGAATCACACTCTATCCCGGACGCTGGACATATCGGGAAAAAAGTGACGGAGGAAAAATTTCCCCGGGGAGGAAAGAACAAGGATAGAAACGGGCACTAGTTTGGTCGTTTCTGATCATTTCTACCTAACCTTGTTTGGCCTGTAGACGCGTTTGACTTCTCGCCATCTTTAGTGGTCGGTCTGTGATTTATGTTTAATCGCTTTTACAAGCTCGTCAAAGCTGAGTGTGTCGATTTTATCATTGGGTCTGTGTCTGGTGAATATGTGCATATCATCACTGTTTTGATCTGTCGCCTTCCGGCTTCACTGGTGGATCTATGTGATTTCTGTTTATACAAGGTCTGTCCGTTTTAAAGGTTTTTTGAAGTGGAAGAAGTGTGTCGGCGTTATTTTTCTCTCTCGGATGTTTATTGATGGGTTGAGTACGGTATTGTTTTGTTTTTCAGTTCTATCTTTATGATCATCGGTTCTTTTCTTTCTTAATTTATTTTATGTGGTGTAAATCACATAAAATCAATTGGTAATTTTGAACTGTTTATTTTACCGCATTGAATGAGTGGTGTTTGTATATTTCTAACAAGTCAAATGTGTCCACTTTTTCGACCTTTTTGTAAGTCGTATGCTATTCCATTTCAAACGATCTGTCCCGTGGTGCTTTCCTGTGAGGAGGCGCTTAATTTATTTTTATAGGCTTATCCGTTCTTTGCATTATGTCTCTACTTCAAAGAAGAAAAGCCAGAGAAACACTGCCCAACCACAATAAATATGTGGTATTTGTACATTTCTAAGTTGTCAAGTATATATGCTAGTTATTCGTCCTTTCGGTACGTCATTTACTAATTTCAAACTTGTCTTTAGTTTTTAATGGTTCTTGGTGGGTTTACTCTTCGGGCATTTCCTGTCCTGCCTGTCTGATGTAAATTTTTCAGTGACATATGTTCTTTTGTGTATATACTACTTTTGTCAAAGTTAGTCTTGTTGATGTTTTGTTTCAGTAACTTTTTAATTGTTTTTATTGTCTTCAGTGCAAATTTTGTTTTCTTTACTTCTATATTCTTCGTTTTGTTTTATGTAACTTTTCTTTGCTGGTTTGTTTGTTGTGCGCTTTAGATTAGAAGACTTCATAGGGTAAGCAGATGTCTTGGTACATTTCTTTAAATTTTCAGTCTATCAAAGGTGTCTTTTTGTAAAGTTCTTATAAGGTAGTAACACTCGTCATCGTCAGTGATGGGCTCTTTGGGAAATAGCGTAACCAGTGAAGAAGGCAAACTTATTTGACCAAATTGAGGTTCATGACCCCCACAATTTCTCATGAATTTCACAACCCATTAAAGAACGAACTTGAAACAATTCGATGAAGCACTTACACAATAAACTTTCATGTCATAAAATAAAATATATCACTAGCATTCCGATAATTTTCTACAGGCTGTTAAAGCATTGATTCTTTTCATTGTAATTTATTGAGTTTTTTCTTTAAAACTATATCGTAAAATATGAGATCCTGATTTTAAAATCTTTACTATAAATTTTTACAAAAACATAAGGCAGTAACAAGCATACACACAATGTTTTAATTATCAATTTCATTTTAATGATCTACATAAATGTAAAATCTAAGATCAGACTTCCTCATTGATGATGGCGTAAAACCGTGTGAATGAAAAATAAACTTCTGAAAATGGGCGGACCCGGTTCAGTATCGATTAGTTTAATTTTAATCTTCTCTGCTGTTTTTTGGTTTGATGTTGTTTGATTTTCTCTCCTTTTCTAAATGATCTTATGTATTCGTTCTTCTTTTATTTTACTTTTCTACTTATCCACAAATTATCGTATACTTTTTTGCCTTGTGGTTTAATCTTATCGTGTTTTGTCTCAGAGGTTTCATTTTTAGCTCAGCTTTTAGATTTTTATCGTCTCGGCAAAATTGAATCAGACTTTAATATCAAATTTTTTTATTAAAAACTGTACAATAGATATTTCACTAAAACACATCTAATTAAACAGCGATAATGTTTATTTCATTGGAATTTTGTAAAAAAAAACTGTTTAAAGTGCATTAATAAAAAATCTAAAATCCTAAGAAAAATCAAGTGATAATTATATTAGAAGAGGTCTTAAAAACAGTAATTAATCGCAGCAATCTGTGGTCTTGGGGCCTTATGGCTTACTAAGAAAAAGAGGAAAGGACTTAAAAAAACTATTAGTTTGGTGTCAGATGTTGGGTGTTTTTTTCAATAGCTGTAGCTGCCTATCGTGCCATTACTAATATTCCTAATAATGTGTAATTACGGGTGCGTGGTATTGTGGGCCATCATGCGATGCCGCCACATGCCTGCGCCTCCTTAACATATGCACACCGGCACCTCGAAATCTCCATATGTCCGCCTCTCCTCCTTGACAAACGAGATTTTTCAAAATACAATTTCTAATCTTCGACAACAACAAAAAACACCAGGGTGCTCTCCCGGGGGTTTCCGTTCTCACCGAGATAACGGAAGCCGTGTGAAAAAGTCGGACGACTTATCAGCTCTTGATTAACACGGTTCCTTGATAAAAACCGAAATCCGACATTTAGGACACATTCCTGATAATGTGATATTGGCATTGTTTTAGTTTTTGGTTTTGTCCTGGATTCCTTTTTTTAACTATAAACTTACAAATTAAAACTAGTCAAAAGCAGACATTTGCGCACTTTATAAAAAAATATATTGCATTGTTTATTAAACACTCTCGGGCATAGTCATTAAAGTAATAACAATCATTATTTCTTCAAGGCATAGAAATAATTAGCGTACCTCTCTGAGCGCGGTTAGTGCTGTCCGTGACAGGTTCTCCGTCGACCCTTTCGGTGTGCTCTTGCTGGGGAGATACAACAAGCTAGATTTATCGGCGAATCGGTGGTTGTTCTACGGATACCTAGGTCTTGTCGGTAACGAGGCGTCTAATGTCCCAACTTCCGGGCATTCAAAAACATGATTAGAACAAACTAACATCGGATTGGCAGAGAAGCACTCGCGTATAAAGAATACTGTCAATGTGGGACGTGACTCGTAGAAGAAGAGTCAAACCTGATTAAGGATAGGCCAAGCGATGTTGACACTCGGACAATTAGTTTGGGCCAAAGCCCGCATTTGTGT